ACGGCTATTCCAAGCGAAGAGACCACGGGATTGGCACAAGAATAAGCCATAAAACTCTGAATCAGATTAACTGCTGCAAATAATGCGATAAAAGCGAGGAAAATTTTTTGTCAAGAAAATGTCTCCAAAAATAAAAGAAAAAGTCATGACCAAAAGTGTAGCTTAGCGAATATAGATGAGCCTAAACATCAACAATTTTTAGAGTCTGTAGAACGTTTATAGAAGCTATCTTTTTACGAAACTCCGCAGAATTTCTGCAAGAAAGTATCCCGCGTGGAAGAAAATTGAGCCATCTGGCAGAGCGGCATACAAAATAGTTGAAGGCCGTTGAAAAAATCTTTTTTCCTAATTTCCGATAGACCAAGCCGAAACCACCTATTCTTCGACAAGGTTTGAATATCCAAAATCGGCTGGGTCTCAATCTAGTTTCTGGTCGAAGAATGCGGAAACACAAGATTAAGTCACTGCAAATGCGTCTATATTTCAAACTACGCAATTTCAATGCGGCTAGTCTTGAGCTGTATGGTGGCAGAGTCAGAGGATAATCAGATCTGGGGAAGCATCTGTAGTAGACAATTCTGGTAAATGTTTTTTGCACTTTTTCCAGCTTGTCGATGTTTTTCTTGGAAAACGGACTCCAAACCGGTGATGCATATTCAAGAATTGGTAACACATAGGTTTTATAGAGTCGCACCAGAAGTACCGGATCATTGCTTTGAATACTTCTCGGCATAATGAAAAGTGCTGATAAAGCTTTTTTAGTAACTGAATCCAGATGCGAAGAGAAGCTGAGCTGATTATCCACTAAAACACCCAGATCTTTTGTACTACTACAATGCTCCAAAGTGGCCCCATCACAGATATAGTCGCGATAAGGTGAATTGCCTATGTGGAGTACCTTGGTTTTGAGTGCGTTGACAGGGAGATCCCACTTTTTAGACCATAACAACATCTTTTCTATTGCTGAGGAAATTGCTAGGTAAGCTGCAGTCTGTTCACTATCACTGTAGCAGAAATAGATCTTGACATCGTCAGCAAAAACTTGAATTTTGACTTGCGGATGAGTCTTTAGTAACAGTGGTAATTCTGCAGTGTAGGCCAAAAAAAGAAGAGGTGATAGGATCCCTCCTTGTGGTACTCCACTGTCGCAGCAAAATCGTTTTGAGAAGCTACTTCCGACTCGAACGGTCATACCTCTACCGTGGAGATATGAGGTAAGCCAAGACAGCAGCTGTCCGCGAATTCCGTAACATTCAAGTTTCAAAAGCAGTTTGGTATGGTGCTTTGGACAAATCGAAAAATATGAGCAACGGGTCGGTGCCATCTCAGCTGGCACCGACCCGTTGCTTAAATTTCGGCGTTCAGTAAGAATCTGAATCGCATACTGAGTATCGTATCAGTACCATAACGCTTTCAAACTCTTTGTTAGCCTATGGAAAATCTCCTACGATATACCCTAAAATCCGGCATATAAGTCCGGACTTATCTGCAATTTTGGCAGGAAAATCGATGGAAAAACGCCCTCAGCGCCGCCAAAAGGTCTCCCAGATAAGCCCGCCTAAATCCACTCACATATAAGCCCGCCTGTCTTGAGCATGAGCAAGCGCGACCTAAGAGCACAGACGCGCGCGACCGCCCGCGTGGCTTGCCAGTGTAGATTTAAACGAGGCCGCGATATCGCCTGAAAGGAAGAGCCCAAGGTCGACAAGTCGTACAGTCTACTTGCTGGCAGTATCGTTGCGGATTCATCACCGCATACGCTGGATAGGTGAGTTCTTCTCTTTAATATGACATTTCTTTTGTATTGAAGTTGATGACACGATGGTAAGGTCGGATTTCACCCCACTGCCAGCAAATACTAGGGTGGGGAGATTTCTGATATAGGCTAACTACAGTACATGCATCTCCTACAAAGCTTTTTTAGAACGCTGATCGTCGCGCATACTCTGTTCCAATCAGTAATTGACGAAGTATAAAGACACAAACGGTTCGTAGTTTTGCAAAAGGCTACAGAGAAGTTGTTTTGGATATCACATGTTTTAGTGCTTCAAACCAAGCCGTGAGAGCGCCTGAAAAGAACCGTCTGAGGACTTGAAGAGCAGTGAAAGCTACTTGCTCAGGATACAGCCGCGGTTTCGTCATCGCGTACGCTGGATAGGTGAGTTCTTTTCCTTTATGACGCCTGTACGAAATTGAGCGATTTCTGCCGATGAAAAGATTCATAATAGGTTTCATCCTTGTATCATTGCAATCATCTCATCTTATCATTCATCTTATCGTTTTGGAGGCGACAATGTTTTCAATACATCTCTCGAACCTGTACAGGCTACAACCCTTGAACCTGACTGCCTATACTTTTTGCTTCCTCTATTGTTTTCATAGTGTGAACGCAGTCTCTGTTGACCCACGCCATACGGCTTTTGTAATGCTTTGTTTTTTCACTACGGCTTTTGTCAAATGCTTTAATGAACGGAAGAGTGGCAGTCTAAAAACGCTCAACCCTAGCAAAGCATTAGGCTTCTTTGTTCTTTTTCTCAATTGTTGTTTCATTAAGCCTGTACACCCAAGACAAAAGATAGTGTAGTCAAATTTGATGCCGCCTGCTTTTCCTGTAAAAGAGTAAACCTTTCGATGATCAGCGCAAATTTATAGGACTCTGCGTGATTCCAGTGTGCAATGACCACTAACTCAGCGAAGTTCGCAATCACGAAGAGCCCTATATTTCCGTCATAGTCTCACATACTGTGACTCAAGCTGTTCAGGTGTTTCGGATCGCAATGGCTACCAGAAGGAAGTCCTACACCACGCTTTTCAAGCTTAACGCTATAGAATATGCCTTGGAGCATGGGACATCGGCTGCAGCTGCTCATTGCGAAGTCTCTGATCGTCTGATTCAAAGATGGAAGGCCGATAAAGAGAATTTGGAAGATATGCCACTGAGGAAACGCGCCAACCGTTATGGGAAGCAAAAGGTAGAGGAGATCGAGTAAGCTGTCTATGCATGGATTGTGCAGAGGCGGGAAGCAAGCAGAGCAGTGCTTGTCGAGGACATTCGAGCGAAGGCATTGCAGCTAGCGCAGGAATCTGGCCGACAGTACTTCAAGGCAACGGAATCGTGGTGCAAACGGTTTATGATGAAAAGGAACTTAGTCGTTAGAAGAAGAACCAGCATCGGTCAGCCACGTTTTGATGATGATAAACATGGAATGGAAACTGAATAAAGATTTGTTGCTTCGGTTCATTCTGAGACCAAAAAAGGCAGCGCAATTGTGCATCCTTCTTGTTTTCATGTGAAAAAATAAGACGGACTTATCCGCGGGACTTGGCGGCGCGAGGCTGTCACGAAAGCGGACTTAAGTGAGAGTTCTTCTGCGGTCTTATCTGAGAGGCGGTCTTATCTGAGAGGCGGACTTATATGCCGGATTTTAGGGTAGTAATCTTGCTTCGAGCTACTCTTGTGCTTGGGAATTTATTGTTGTCATCACCTATTCCCCATCATTTGATTTGATTGAATTTTGTACTCACTTTGACATCAAACGGAACTTTGTAATTTTTTGAAAAATCCTAGCCCTTTGTGCTTAGCCCTGACTATGAATGCGTCCCTCTAAACAACAGTTTAAGTCGTCCGTAGGTGAAAAAAAATCGTAAAGCTGCAATATGAGAATGTATTATTATGGTCTCTCACTCACAAGGAAAGGATACCAACATTAGTCGGCGATTGAAGATGAGATGTATACCATTGAATGCATCTTTGAGCGCTGATTCCAAATCTGCTTTCATTTTTTGTGGAATGCTTTCGAAAGAAGTTGTAGGCGTTTACATGTCCAAATTTGTCAAGGTTTAGGTGGCCTAAAACTGGCGAAAAGCTTCACAAAAACACCGGAAAGTGGAAAAGCATTTTTATCTTATATACAGGGTGTCCCAAAAAAAAATGTATCGAACGTTTGGTCGTTAATATCTCTCTTCCCAAGAAGTTTTTTGCCTTGCTTTAGGTACCATTTTGTAGAGCTGGCTTCAGCTTAGATTCGCATTATAGAACGAATCACTCATCTCTCTTCATTACTGTAGGATTACGGTAGAAACTTGAAACAACATGAAACATATGGTGTCAATGTGGAAAAAGCTGCCGTTTCAAAATTTTTCAAAAAATGTAATAACTTGTGTAATAGGGTTTTTATGGACTCTGAGTTTAATACTCAACTATTCACGAGATTACGAAGCCTTCTAAACGGTGTAACCGCACTTTTCAGGAACATTGGAAAAATGGCCGCTACCTCTTACCCAGCATAACTCTTCAATGAAGCATCATAACAAGTTGGGAACTTTACAGTTAGAATCAACAACTCTAATTAGCCTAGTGTAAAAACTTTCAGGCTGTTTTGTCTCCTTTCTGACAAGGGAAGGATACTCGGTCGAAGTGGCCATTTGGAATGAGCTGTATATTAGGAAACCGTCCTCCGTAAGGCAAACTCAAAACTACTTTCGCTAGGTGCCGAGCGGTTTGTGGGGGGAGTTACAAGGCCATTTTCCCCCGGCGCAGCCAGGGCACCCAGTGATGAGCGAAGCGCTAGAATAGCCCAGCAGTGTGGCAGTAGCGCAGTGGCAACGCAGCGGACTACGAAGCAGAGGGTCGAGGGTTCGAGTCCTGTTGCTGCTAATTTGTTTTGCAGTTCTGTAAAAAGTCTATTGGGTGACAGCAAACGAGAAATACTATTTCTAGGCAGTCGAAACAAGCTATTTACTGCAAAAAAGTCACTATTTCTACAACAAGCTATAATCTTCTACATTATGTCAATTTGTGGAGGTTAAGATGTCACAACAATGGATTCAAATACAACCACAAAATGTCCAAAGCAGAAGAGCTTCTCGCAGCGCGCGCACTTGCAAATTTGCAATCGATTGCATTCAGCGCTTCATTACCTATCAAGGCAGGACCACGCAGGTAAAGGCAAGTGCCAAGTATGCGCATATAGCAAAAAGCTCTGCTGCCAATCATTACGATGTTCTCGCCACAGCTTGTTTTCTCGTACCTTTCGGAAGAAATCGGGCCATGTGACGTCTCCCGAAAACCGACACGGATGGAGCAAACTCGCATTCTGCGGGAAGCGTTGTACGATAATCTGGCAATTGACTGCGAGGAAGATGAAGTTATAGAAGATTACGAAGCAGATCCAACATGGTCATATGATATATCATTTGAATCCATTATTGTGACATCTTAACCTCCACAGATTGACATATTGTAGAAGATTATAGCTTATTGTAGAAATAGTGACTTTTTTGCTAAAATAGCTTGTTTCGAATGCCTAGAAATAGTATTTCTCGTTTGCTGTCACCCAATAGACTTTTTACAGAACTGCAAAACAAAATAGCAGCAACGGAACTCGAACCCTCGACCATCTGCTTCGTAGTCCGCTGCGTTGCCACTGCGCTACTGCCACACTGCTGCGCTATTCTAGCGCCTCGCTCATCACTGGGTGCGTTGGCTGCGCCGGAGGAAAATGGACTTGTAACTCCCCCCACAAAACCGCTCGGCACCTAGAGAAAGTAGTTTTGAGTTTGCCTTACGGAGGACGGTTTCCTAATATGCAGCTCATTCCAAATGGCCACTTCGACCGAGTATCCTTCCCTTGTGAGGCAAAAAATGGCCTTTCATTGCTTAAAACCCTCTTTTAAGTTTCTACCGTAATCCTACAGTAATGAAGAGAAATGAGTGATTCGTTCTATAATGCAAATCTAAGTTGAAACCAGCTCTACAGATTGGTACCCGAAGCAAAGGAAAAGACTTCTTGGGAAGAGAGATATAAACGATCAAATGTTCGATACATTTTTTGGGACACCCTGTATAAAGCTAAATGTGTGTATGTATGTCTGTATGTCTGTATGTACGTATGTGCGAAATAGAAATTTTTATTTCTAAACCAATTTGGACCAAACTTGGCACACATATACTTCGGGGCGGAAAGCGTGTCACAGGCTACTTTTCGTTATCGATCGATATCGATTTTTATCGGCTGGGAGTTGGCACAGGGGGGGGTAATCGAGCATGCTGATTACAAATATGTTATTGACAGGACCCGGCGGAGCCGGGTTTGCCAACTAGTATCGAGTATATCGTTTGCAAGGAAGGAACAAAGCCGGCGGAAATCGCTTAGGTGTTGTTTAAGAGCTTCTCACTGATTTTGAGCCACTCAATGCTCGGCAAATCTGGAGCTCAAAACTTCTTTCGGAAACATATAAAAAAGTGAAAGCAGATTTGGAATCAGCGTTTAAAGGCGCATCTAATGATATACATCTCATCTTCAATTGACTAATGTTGGTATCCTTCCCTTGTCAAAACGCGCCTGGAATGTTCAGGTTCGCAGGTTCACCATCCCGACTTTTCTCGCCTTATATCTGTAGCAGAAAATCATCGCTGCCATTTTAAACAAAATCGGAATCTAAAGTGATGCTAAGCGATTATTCACTCTACGTGCACATTATAACTACCTCACTTACACACGTCACAAACTGTCATGATCTGCGATAACAGTAATGGGCACGTCGAGCTATAATTGTAAAGTCCGACAGATGCATTGCTATGAATGACTGAGGACCGACTCCAGCTTTCCCACCTGACATCGCCCCACTCCTTTTGATCATCTACGATTGCCATGTGTGGGGCAAAACAGCGAGGGATAGATGCGTGATCTCATCCTCCTGGTTTGGCTAAAGCTTTCTGATCAGTTTTTTCGCTGGTAACGTGTCAATAACTTCGTCTTACATTGGGCCATTCTCAAAGTTTTCTCTGATTCTTCGACCTATTCAAAAACGCGAACGAAGATAATCAACATGCTGAACCCTATCCGAAGCACCTTTTCTTCTCCTTTTCAGCTGCTAGGCCTCTAAACTGGTAAGTCTTGTGCCACTACAACAATTGCCCAACGAACCATGGTTAAACATGTTCAGCTCTGGCAAATTTTAACATCCTCACTTCTAACTTCTGCGAAAACTTCGAATGAGAAGCGAATGGAGTAAACAATGTGCAATACAACGAATTATTTGCGTTTCATCTGCTGATTTCCAGTTTTTTTTTCAGATTAAGTTCATCGAAATTCTTTACTTTTGCAAAGTCGTGAAATAACACACTCTTTAAACACCAATAGATTCTCGCAATAAAGATGTTTTAGCTATTAGAAAACAATTGAGCCTCTACAGCTACAAAATTCAAAATTTCTCATTCTTTGGGTACACTTTTAAGAGCTTCAAAAATAAGAATCGCGTCAATTTTAGCCCCAAAATTTCAGGAATTGCGAAGAAAAAACGCCTGCCCAAAAAAGAAAAAGCTGCATCGAGTAACATCCTAGCTTTTGTCTGATATCATGTGCCGAGTCCGACGCGCTAACCGCTGAAACGTTGAAGACTACGCGCTGCGCATTTGAAATGCTGCGAGAGTACGACTTGTACATCAATGGTTTCGGAGCAAGGGATTACCTCGCGGCCCGTGCTCCGCAGCAATGTCCTGTCCGTGCGACCAGCGAATCGAGGATAAGGTTTGAATGACCACATATGGAAGGTGGCATCAAACAAATAATTTGTATATTTGAAGATCCAGCTATAAATGGCAGACAAATGCATTGCATTGCACTGTTTTCTCTATCATCCGCTGTCCGAGCTATTGAAAAATTGAAAATGAAAACTCTTTAGAACTGCTGAGGCTTACATGATAGCAATCACAAGAGCAACTAGCTCGGAGAATAATTGCTGAAAAGAGGAAGAAAAGTTTATAGGATAGTCTTTGAAACGTTCGCTTATCTTTACTCCACGTCGTTTTATGATACATTTAAAAAAAAGAAAGAACATGACCCAAGGTATGATAAGGATAGCTTACAACGTCAACACGCGTCATGAACAGATAATATATCATTCTCTGCTACTTGCTGGCTAAGCTTTGAAGCTTCTTAAATTTTTGTTAATCAATCACAACGTTTCGTTTCTATTAGCATCAACACAGATATCGTGTCTGAATTCCCTGAGGTAATGGTTTTTAGAACACTATCTTCGAGATGGGCCTCAATGTTGACCGGCTAAGACCATCACAGCCATTGTCACTTCGGAACGGCGGAAATGGATTTTTTGGCGGCTTGCGAAAGTGTGAGAAGTTATGATAATTTGAATCCCCTCTTCACTTACACATACCAGATCCTATGTGGCTAAAGCTTGTCCAGAATGAGCAAAGTTGCGCTGAAGAAAGGTCTCAAAGACGGTCCTTTTTTTCTGTTATATCGCCCGGTAGCTGGCTTTTCCGGAGCAGGCCGGCCGTTGCTCACCGAGGATAAGGTGAACGCTATTTTGGTCGCCAGCATATATACAGGGCTCCTAAATTGCAGATTTGCACCAGCGGTCGCGCGACCGCGTCGCGCTCGGGCATCAATGGCGCCGACTCGATCGATGGCGCCGGCGCCGCCAAAATGCCCGGGCGCGACGCGGTCGCGCGACCGCTGGTGCAAACGACTCTGCAATTTAGGAGCCCTGTACTTGCTGCATTGTGAAACAACCCCTCCCTTCATGTTATTAATGACTTACCTCAGGAAAACTGTACTTCGATGCATTGCATCTTCATGATTCTGAGACTGGATGAGCTTTACCCCACCCGCTTATATAAACACCAGTGCGTCACCTCTGCTTCGCAGAGGCTCGCACTGCCCTTACTTTCTGTATGCCTAACTCGTTTCCGCATAATAATGACATTGAAACTCATTGAGCCATGCAAGCTATCACGAATGATTTTTAAACAACTACTCATTTCTGGAGCTTTTTTGTGCCAGATCGGTAAATTCGCGAGGATGAGACTTTTCCGAGAAGAATTAATGCGAATTTAAATTGGTTTTTGGACTTTTTATGGCTTGGTAGTCACCATAAGGACAATAATCACCGTGGGCTACAATCCTGTGCAAAAATCTTCTCAAACGATGAAGTAAAATATTGGCAAATTGAACATTTATGCAACTTATTCTTTTTGGCGCCATTTTCATAAACTAATCAATTTTATTGGGTTGATGCATAATTCCTGCACCAAAATAGTACAGACCGCAATAATGCGGAATGATCCTACATCTCAAGTAGGATTTGATATATCATTAGATAGAGCAAACCTAGCTCTACAAGACAGTGTTTAAAGATTTGCAGCAGCTTTGATCTAAGCGAAGATTAAAACCAAAAACGAAAGAGATCCAAGCGCCCCAAAAAACCAAGAAAAAATTGGAAGTCCTTTTCAGAAAAATCCTTCAAAATTCCTAACATGCTCATGCATTGTCATTTCGTATAAGACATTTCTCTATGCAGTTGCTGTATTTTTTCTTAAGTAAAAACTGCGAAAACGAAGTTTTTCACGTTTTTCCAAAACAATGCTGAGATGTTCTAGCCCTGACATTTGTATTCTATAGGACCTTAGAAGCATGATTGTGAATTTACACCCTTTAGAGCAGCTGGTTTACGAGAAATATCGAATTTTCAGCAACTAGGCGAGAAAAATTCGGACAAGGAGAGCAAGATTCGTCATTTCTCGCGGAACTAGCAGTTTTAGGCCCCGGTCAGACTTCACGCGACTTAATCGTCGCGATCTAATCGCCAAGATTTCCATTCATTTTCATTTCTCATTCAAAAATGTCGGGCTGGAAAAGCATCACAACCGAATGCAAGTTGATCGGCATGGAATGATGTTGTAACAGTTGTCTCGTCGCGACTCAGTCGCGACGATCAAATCGCTTGAAGTCTGCCCGAGGCCTTAGAAGGCTGAAAATGTAAAATTTCACTGCTAACGGCATGTACTATACAACTATTAATGCTAGAACATCTCAGCACTAATTTGGCAAAAACATGAAAACTTCGTTTTCTCATCGTCTAGTTGAGAAAAAAATACAGCAACCGCATAGATAAATGTCTTACGTGGAATGTCTACGCGTGAGCAAGAAAGCAATTTTGTAGGAGCTTTTTGAACAAAACAACAACAATTTTCTTTTGATTGGTCTTAAGGTTTTTGGACGCATGGCTTTTTTCAGTTTTCGGCTTAAAACTTCGCGTAAATCGAAGGTGGTGCAGATATTTGAGCACGAGCTTGTAGGGCTAGGTTTGCTCTATCCAATGATGTATCGAATCCTATTTGGGATATAGGATTATTCCGAATTATTGCGATCTGTACCTGTTTTGGTGCAGGAATTATGCATCAACCTAATAGTTCGATTTTTTGGGTTAATGTCTATGGCTTGCACATTAGCTTGTCAAACCTATCCATGACTTCGCAGAAAATCGGTACTGGCAGAGTTTTGCTGGCCAGAAGCCTAGTGGATTTTTCTGACGCGCAATTTTCAACGGATCCACTCAACGGATCCACACAACGGATCCGCTCATGCTTTTGCATGGTGGGCTTTCATGCAGGTAGCGTGCGCTATGCAAAATTTGGGCTTAGGACGTTGTCTGAAACATGCTCTACGAATTTCGTAACGGACAGACAGACAGACACACGCACACACACACAAAAAAACTTAAACACCCTTAGCCCGTTATTATAAGTTATGATTATGATTTGAATGCTTGGTTAGAGCATGATGAGCTTTTACTACTTATTGTTAGAAGTACGTAAACAAACCAATAGATCAAGAGGGACCTAGCGAATAGCCGCAAAGAGTAGCTTATAATTTGCAGCGGATCAGAAACATATGTGCGCGAAGTTTCGACTCAGTCGAATCCTGCAGTCGCAATGCGCGAAGCCGCACAAGCAGCTCCTTCACTATCTATTTTATCTAGTGGGCTTACGTTTCTACTTTTGTTTTTATTGCGAAAACATCGAAAGCACCGTTGAAAAATCAAATTATATTGAAATTGAACGATAGTATAGAGCATTAGCATCGCTGCGGCGGGTGTGGCTTATAAGCCGAAAAAAGTATTTGAATTTGCAAATTAACTGTTTTGAAGCAGTCGCCTTCAGTGACTTCTGGAAAATGTTTATGGCAGTGAGATAACAAACTAAAAGAGCTTGGAACGCATGACAAATTGCAAACAACAGTCCTTTCCAGTCAGGAAGAGTAATATCCTCTTGAATTGCTCTAAAAACTTTGACGCTTTGAATCAAATAGAAACTTTGCCACGTTCTGATTTTTCCCTTTACCTTGAATGCTAATTTATTGAGAACTACTAGCTCACATTGAAGCAAATTAGCCTTACCATAGCACCTATTTCAAACCTACTGGATATAGACTACTAAACTAATAAAACAAGCTGGATTTCATGCTTATGCTTAGACAATCTTAGGCTCCCAGCCGGCCCCACCAAAAGCTCCGAGCAGGCCGCCATTGCCTTATTGCCTCACTGTCGCTTCTTGCTGAGAACCTTTCCAGAAGTGGCAGCGAGCGGGCTGCTATAAAGTTTTCAGCGGAAGCGAAAGTGGCGGCGATAAGGCACGGCCGCCACTTCCGCTTCCCGCTGAAGACTTTACAGCAGCCCGCTCTCTGCCACATCTAAAAAAGTTCTCAGCGGGAAGCGACAGTGAGGCAATAAGGCAATGGCGGGCTGCTCGGAGCTTTTGCTGGGGCCGGCTGAGAGCCTTTGACTGTCTGAGTGTTGGAAGCGCACAAGGGGAAGTAGAAGGCTAGTCATGCTGCTACACATTATTAGAAGCGGTAAACGAGGGGACACTGAAAGGCTTGCTACTTGTATCTGCGGGATAATCAAGAGCACAAGCCCTGCGGGAGGTTGTAAGGAGCCAGCATAATCACCGAGAAAAATTGTAAAATATGGAAACGAAACAGGCTAACTAAATTGATGAGGCGCATCTTCCAACGCAAGGGAAAAGTGGTAATTTAAGTTAGGTCAATTTCATTGAAAAATGAAATAACCTTCAAGTAATTGGCGCACTACAGAATCTTTGGAAGCTCAAGTTAGACAATGGAGTATTTCCTTCTTAACGCTAAAAATTTCTTCCTTTTTTTCGCGACGTTGTCTGCAGATTTTGCCTTAAATTAATGAACCATGTCGTATGGAAATGATGTAGGGCATTCAAGAGCTTTCTGCTGTCAGAAAATGATCTAGCTTTGATTGTTGATCACTCAAATCAAATTTTATGCAGTTGCCATTCAAAACCAGTTCAATGCTGCTTAGGCAAATGTATGCGAGCGGCTCGGATCTATCTACATATACAAAACAATTCAAAGAACTCGATTTTTCCAAACTTGGAAATCTGGGCATTATACTCCGGGCCTGAATCTTATTATGCATTAAAGGCTCCAGTTTCTGCTGATATATTTCTTCGTGCATCCCTGTCAAATTTACAATCAATGGATTCGCTTTTTATGAATCTGTCTTCTACTTCTCGGTCTTCCACCAAACAGAGTAACGAAAACCTGTTTTCATGATTTTCTTGGTAGCCAACTTTTGTTGGATCCTTGCCGAGTCTTTTCGGCAGTGATGGCGTTCTTATTTAATTTTTGCGCTTACAGACGGCAAAGCCTTTGATTCCAACTGCATCCATGCCGACAAATCTTAACAACTCTAACAACTTAACATTTTAACGCGGTGGGTTGCTTATCGCCCAAGTATGAATACAGTGCAATCCCGGTTCAGCATGTCTTCCCTGCCAAGAAAATTGCCCTCAAACTTAAGGCCGCCTGCATTAACATCCCGCCGGGGGAGAAATCGCAGCTTAAATGAAAGTTAGAATCCTGAAGCTCCAGATGTCTGGACTCCACGCTGTCTACCTATCTGTAAAGTTTCCCGCCATCCTTCACTAACACATATTGAACAGGAGCGAGAAGCTGTACATTCCGCATATTCCAGCTTTTTGTCATCCCCTGATGATCCCCAGAGGCGGGCTGTCTTTTCTTCAAAGTCATTTTTCTTTCTTCGAAGTCAGCGAAAGCATTCCAAATTTGCCCGATTGTCTAACCCGACAGTGATAAGCATGTTGCTAAAAGAAACATGATGTTTTGGAATCGAGATCTGCGATGAACCGCAAGTCGAAAGTTGAGGTTTATCAAAAAAAATCGACATTTCAAAAACTCATTTGTTTTCAGCAGCAACATGCTTGGCACTGTTGGGTTAGACTAACGACTTTGGAAGGTTTTCGTTAACTTCGAAGAAAGAAAAATGACTTGGAACAG